CAGCTCAGAGCCTGGAGCCTGCTTCAGACTCTGTGTCTCCCTCTCTCTCTGACCCTCCCCTGCTCACGCTGTCTCTCTCTCTCTGAGAAATAATAAAAACATTAAAAAAAAAAAAAGAAGAAGAAGAAATAATCAGAAATGTCAGGAAGAGTTGACAGGAATTGGAAGTGAGAGGGAGTGGGCTAGGGAACCACCGGTTTTAAAGTATATACCAGATTATCATTTGTTCACACGAAAAGTATCTTTTTAAAAGGCTCACTTAGCGACTCTCTGTGGAGGCTAAAATCCGAGACAGAATGAGTTAAGACTCCAGAAACCCTTGAGGCTTACTTTGGCAAATTTTATAAAGGAGTGTAACTCTCCACGCACCCCCCCTCCACCCCTCCGCCCTAGTTCACAGCACAGAGAAGGTTCACCCGGCCGCACCATCTCCCACCTCTTCTGCCTTTTGTTTCTGTGCTGGTGCCTGGCGGAGTGGCCAGCCAGAATGAAAACGCCAGCCAAGTGTCCTGGGCATTGTCTAAGCAGCACACTTCCTCATTGCCAGCTATGTCACCTTTGCCTTTTCCTTCTCTCTCCCCTTCCTCGGAAGCCTCTGAGATACTTTTGAGAGCTCCCAACTCCTAACCCTGTTAAAGACCCTTCAGAAGAGATCTATTGGAGATCTATTTTCAGGGCGCCTGGATGGCTCAGTCGGTGAAGCGTCCGACTTCAGCTCAGGTCATGATCTCACAGTTCACGAGTTCGAGCCCCGCGTTGGTTGAGCTCTGTGCTGGCAGCTCAGAGCCTGGAGCCTGCTTCAGATTCTGTCTCCCTCTCTCTCTCTCTGCCCCTCCCCTGCTCACGCTCTCTTTCTCAAAAATGAATAAAAGTGTTAAAAACAAATTAAAATCAAAAAGCCAAAAGAGATCTATTGGAAGTCTATTTTCATAGACTCAAACTCCTAACACAGCAGGCCACAGGGAGGGGCTGGGATGCTCCTCTCCCCCCCTCCCCTCTCTGAGGTACTTCCTCAGGGGTAGAAGACTGGTTCCAGGGGAGCCTGCATGGCTCAGTCGGTTAAGCATCGGCTCTTGATTTTGGCTTAGGTCATGATCATGGCTTCGAGCCCTGCATCTCTCTCTCCTCTCTCTGCCCCTCCTCCCCCACTCGTACATACGCATGCGCACTTTCTCTCTCAAATTAAATAAACTTCAAATAGAAAAAAAATAAGAGTACTGGTTCTAGAGTCGGACTTAACAGCTTGGTCTCTTATTTGCTGTGTGACTTTGAACAAATGACTTCAGCTCTCTGAGCTTCAGCTTGCCAGCTGTAAAATGGAGAGCATAATAATACAGACTTCTTGTGAGGACTTAAAAAGAATAATGCGTGTGATGAGGCCTTCATGGCCAATTAAGTGCTTCACAAATGGAGCTAGTGACAATCTCTCAGATACTTGAAGCATCCCCCACCCATCCCTGCCATCCCAGAGTCTCCAGGATGAGGCTGGCAGCTCCTTTAGGAGCCAGGCTACCCCCCACCTATACCAGTGCTCCCCACGTTCCCCATTTATATTCATCTCCACCTCCAGCCAGTCTCCTCTTTCCATAGAATCAGTTTACATCTTGGCCTCTGGCCAAAGGGATCATAATCTCCCTTGCCTTTGTTTGGAACCTCAAACCCTACCAATGATGGTTTGGAAACAATGAGATGGGGCTCCTGCCTCCAAAGAGAGCACTCAGAGCAGCTAGCTGATCTCCTGTGGGTTGTAGGGCTGGGCACCCTCAGGCCAGTAAGACTGCAGGGAGGAATGGGTAGTCCTCCTGGGGGAAACTGAGGAAGGGAACCAGGCCCGCTCTGAACCTGCTGAAGGAATCTCCACATCTCCCAAGGAGTCTCACCAGAGAGTCCACAGGAGGCGATGAGAGGAGGGATTCGGACCCCTCGGCTTCTGTAGTGGGCCGCTACAACTGCCTTCCCCTTAAGACTGCCCATGGGGAGGTGCGCGTGGGTGGCTCAGTCGGTTAAGCATCCGACTTTGGCCCAGGTCATGATCTCACGGTTCGTGGGTTCAAGCCCCGCGTCGGGCTCTGTGCTGAAAGCCAGCTCAGAGCCTGGAGCCTGTTTCAGATTCTGTGTCTTCCTCTTTCTCTGACCCTCCCCTGCTCACTCTGTCTCTCTCAGAAATAAATAAAACATTAAAAAAAAAAAAAAAAAAAAAAGACTGCCCATGGGGGAAAAGACATAGTCTCCTCAGAGGAAGTTAGGATGCCTTCAGGAAGAGAAATGGCTCTTGGACAATGCTTTAAAAAAATGCCAATTATCTATTATATATAGAATCAGGATCCAGATAACTTCTCACAAGATCAGAACAACTGGCTAGATCTCACAAGAAAAAAATAAACAAGAAACAAATGTGAAGTCCTACACTGAGGCTCAAGAAACTGCACACAAAGAAGTGGGGAAGACCTAGTAAACTGGTAGTGGGCACCGAAGTGATGTGGCTGCCAGAAACGTTAGTTCGGCGTGAGGTCATATTAATGGCAGAGGAGAATCTGGGAAGGAGAGGTGAAAGTCCAGCTTTCTGTCACCAACTGGGTTCAGTTCTAAGAGTTATACTTTAAAGGGGACATTGCTGACCTGGTAAGAAGCCAAGAGAGGAAGATGTCCCAATGATGAGAGCCCAGAATCCTGTCCTTGGAAGAAAGGCTGAAAGAACTGGGATGGTTGGGCCTGGAGGGAGAAGATACTAGAGAAATGAGAGGTGCCTTTACAATTTTGACGGGGTTCCCACAAAGAAAATAGTAGAGCTGGTCAGATGATCAGGTGAACTGGGAAAAGCCCAGTCCTTCTCCTAGAGTCCGTCAGAGAAGCTGGATTCCAGGGGCATCTGGGTGGCTTAGTTGCTTGAGCTTCAGACTCCTGATTTGGGCTCAGGTCATTAACGCAGGGTGGTGGGATCGAGCTTATCTCCCTCTCTCTCTCTGCCCCTCCCCCACTCACGCCCTAAAAAAAAAAAAGAAGAAGAGCCGGATTTGGACTCCACCATTTACCAGCTGTTAGGGACTGAACACTCTTCAAACTGCAACATGCCAGACACAGCTGAGGGCTGAGTGTTGCTTTTCTGTGAGAGCCAGAGGTACGCCAACACGGAGGAAAATTTCAGCTCAATGCCAGGAAGAATGTTCTTTCTTTCTTTTTTACTTTGTTTTATTTATTATTATTTTTATTTTAGAGAGAGCGAGCAAGCAGGGGAGGGTCAGAGAGAGAGACACACACAGAATCCGAAACAGGCTCCAGGCTCTGAGCTAGCTGTCAGCACAGATCCCAACATGGGGCTTGAACCCACAAACCGTGAGATCATGACCCAGGCCGAAGTTGGACACTTAACCAACTGAGCCACCCAGGCGCCCTGCTTTCTTTCTTTTTTAAATGATATTTATCATTCCTATCTCTGGTCACAAAAGAAATGCATGGTTTTGTAGGATATTGGTTAACAGAAGAGCAAAATTAGCTAAAAATCACATCAACTGCTATTTACCTCCTAATCATTAGGGATAGGAGAGATAGGTAGGAAAGGTACATAGATACATGGATGATAGATAGATACATACAGGCAGACATTAACAAAGATGGGATCATAGGATAATCATCTGAGAGAATAGAGCGTCACCACGTAAAGACGTATGTATTGGTATGTAAGGAAGTTTACTGCAGTATTGTTTCTAGTAGGAAAAAAACAGCTGTGAACCAACTAAATACCCTTCGGTAGGGGAATGTTGGGAACGTGAGCGAAGGGCAGCGCACCCACAGCATGCAGCACTGTACGGCTAGGTGAAAAAACAGGGCGGAGCTCATAAGTATGCATTGCCTTCAGAATGTTTCCAGCATATATTGCTTAAGGCCAAAAGACAGTTATAGGATGATATGCATAGTATGATCCCATTCTTGTGAAAAGAAAAGCATGCACACACATGTTTTTATAAGTGAAGGAAACAACTTGATGCTAACAGTGGGCACATCTGGGAGCTGGACTTGAAGAGGCCGAAAGTAAGAGGCTGAATGTGTTTCCCTTGGGATAATCAGCACACATGAGTTTTTACAGGGAATGACTGAAATTTACGTAAGTAAACAACAATCTACCCTGGATATTTCTCCATGGCACCGAAGATTTTACATCATATTTACGACCACAGGTATTCCTTGTGTAGATTTCTCTTCATGTTATTGAACCCAATGGTGGACATTTGGTACATCAGGAGTTGTCCAAAGAGAGACCAGGGACATTTTGACGGCGTCTATCAAGACCTGAAAACATGCAGACTCATAGATCTAACCGTACCTCAGGTAGACTATCTGGTAGGTACACTAGTGCTTGTGCCCTGCCTTCCTATTCCTGCGGGCAAGAGGCTAGACACGATCCACATCTCCAGCCTCAGGACTGGATAACTAAAAACTTACAGGCTGAGTGTATGCTTCAGTTCTCAACAGCAGGTACAAGAAATGAAATGGATCTGTAGAAATTTACATGGAAGATGTGCCAGGACATATTCCACAGTGAAGAGAAGAAAGGCGAGTTACAGAACAGTGTGTACAGCATGATCTCATTTCTATTTAAAACGTGTATGTGACTGTGCACTGAGAAAGAGCTGAAGGATAAACGGCAAGCTGTAGGTAGGATTTACCTATAGGTACGTATGTATGTGTGTATGTGTGTATGCATGTATGTGTGTATGTATGTGTCCCCATAGGAATATAGGTACACAGGTATAAAGGAAGTGAGCTCCATGAGCTGTGCAAACCAGGACTGGCTGTCCCTGACTCAGGGATGCTGCGGAAGGGAACCTGGGTTCCCCCTCTTAGCCCCGAGAATCTCTGGGAGAGGGGGCGGTCAGGACGGGGAGAAGAATCCGCCCCTAAGGGGAAAGGGTTAAGCGGGGAGGGCTTTGCTGTGGGCGGGCTCGGCGATCGGCAGCGCCGGGCTCTGTTAGCCGAGTCTGAGCATCTCGGAGGATGCGGCGCGGGGAGCGGCTGCAGGGACGCGCGCAAGGTGAACGCGGGGGCTGGCGCTGCGGCGCCCAGGTGAGGAGCTGGCCGAGGGAGCGGGCGATGACGGGGCGCAGGCAGGGAGCGTGGCCTGCAGCCCCCTTTCTGGGCGCGGGCGGCGGGGCCCTGCACCTGCGCCCACCCCCACCCGGGACACTGCGGGAAGGCGCGGAGCCAGGGGAGAGGAGCCGGAGGAGGAGAGGTAACCCGAGACGGACCAGCGCCTGGAGGCTGCCCCGCGGCGGCCCTCGCCCTTCCCCCAGGCCGGCCTCCCTCCGGACCCCAGCGCAGGGAGATACCCCCTACCCTTTAACCCTGTGCCCCCCCAAATCTGTCCGGTTGCGGGAACCCAGGACCGGGCAGCCTCCTCCTTGCCCATAAATGCCTCCATCGCGTTTGAATTGCGGGCGGTGAGCAGATGGCATATGCTTATCACTGAAGGCCTAACTCAACTACCTCCTCCGAAAAGCCCCTGGAGTGCAAAATGAGCCATTGCAGGTTTCACAACCCCTAGTGTGGCCATTCGCTGGCTGTGTGACCTTGGGCGATTTGCTAAACCTCTCTGAACCTTGGTTTCCTCCTCTATGAGATGGTTATACCCACACCTGCTTGTGTTGGGAGGGTTGGATGAGATGGAGGACATGCAGCTAATCTTAGCGCAGGAGCCTTACTGGGTAAGTGTTCAACACGAGAGCACTATTATTAACCAGGACATGTGCTGGTGGCTGTTCAGTCCTTCCTCCTCACCTAGCCCCCAGCCTTGACACCGCAGCTGAGGTTTCTCTTTGGGTCCCCAGCACCTAGCTAGCAGCAGAGCAGAATGAGTGTTTGAGAAATTAACTAATAGGACTTTACGGCAGAGTCTAAACTCACTTTGGGGGATGGGCTTAAGGGATCTTTGAACCCCCAGAAATCGTCCACAGCTTTTGACGAACCTTGGCATTTTTCTGGAGAGAGCACCTGGATGGAGTCTTCATTGGCTTCTCAGGGTGTCCGTGAGCCACCAAGGATGAGGAGCCAGAGAGCTCTCCCCAGAGAAGAAAGGAGCAGGGCCTCTGCCCCTAAACACACCCAGCCCTCTCCTCTCCCACAGTTGCTGTGCCCTCCGGTCTCCTGCCCACGGGATCCCTTCCTGCCTTCCTGGCTTTATTAGGGACTCTCAAGAAGAGGAACCTTTAGGGGACATCCGCCTGGGGCCAGGCACATGCAGGGGGCCTGAGGCAGGAAAGAAAAATGGAAACGCAGCCCGGAGATTGCATTCTGTGACCAGGATCATGAGAAGGGGTGGAGGGGTGTCAGGGAAGGAAAGGTCTAAGCTGAAACAAGCCACCATTCTTGTCTTACCTGGCCTCTCTCCCCCTTCCGGAACACTTAATCGGATCTCTTTGCTTCCTTGCTTAACATCTGCATTGGCTGCCTGTGATACTCAGGATAAAATCCAGGCGCCTTATTGTGGCTTACAAGGCCCCTTGTGATCTAGCCCCACCTTCCTGATCTTCTCTCCCTCTGCTCCTTTCTCCTTCCTTTGCTCTGCTCCAGCCACACTACCCTTTTCATTTTCTCAGTTCACCTCATTCATTCTGCTTCAAGGCCTTCGCACGCACTTTCTGTTCCCTTTGCCAAATACTTTTCCCAAATACACATCTTCAAATGGCTGGCTCCTTCTTCTCATTCAGCATCGAGCTTCAATGTCACCTCTGAGAGGTCTTTCTGCTATCCCCTGAAGTAGCTTCCCATCCATCTATCTCTTAACCTGTTTTATTTTCTTCATGGCTCAACTTATTTAAAATTATTCGCTGTCTGCCTCTTATCCTAGAATGCCACCTCAGTGAGGGCAGGAATCTTGTCGGTCTTCACTGCTTTATCCTTAGGGCCTGGCAGATAGTTTGTGCTCAAAGATTTTGTTGAAATAGCTCAGGGGGCTGGTGGGAAAGAAAGCTTTCTGGACAAAGGGAAAAGAAAAGAGCTCTCATGCTTATTAAAGTCCTATTATGGTCCTGGCCTATAATGCGCTTTGTTAGGTAAGTCCTGGAAGAGCTCCTTTGAGTTAGGTACTCTTTTCTACCCATTTTACTGATGGGAAAACCATGATTTGAAGAGGTGAAGTGACCACCCAGGAAATAGCAAAGCTGAGATTCAAACCGAGATCTCTCCTCAAAGGCAGGGGCATGTTCCTCTCCCTCTTCACTGCTCTGATATTTGAGCTAGGCCTTCAAGAATAGGATTTCAGGGGCGCCTGGGTGGCTCAGTCAGGTAAGCGTCCACCTTTGATTCAGATCATGATCTCACGGGATTCGTGAGTTCGAGCCCTACGTCGGGCTCTGTGCGGACAGCTCAGAGCCTGAAGCCTGTTACGGATTCTGTGTCTCCCTCTCTCTCTGCCCCTCCCCAACTCATGCTGTCTCCGCCTCTCTCATAAATAAGTAAATCTTAGAAAGGAAAAAGAAAAGGATTTCAGCTAGTGAAGAAGAAGGGAGAGGGCAGTCCAGGCTGAAGGAACAGCCAGAGCAAAGGATTGGGGGCCCTGGACAGCCCAGTGGGTATTGAAGGATAGATGAGCAGCCCGGTGTGGCCTTAGAAGGTTAGGAGAGGAGCTTCTATTATTTCCTGAGGGTGATGGGGAGCCACTAAAGGTATTGAAGCAGGGCAAGTGTCATGAAGTGTCGTGACCAGAGATACAGATTTAAAAGGTCACTCCGGGCAGCAGGAAGGGGCTGGGGAAAGGGGAGCTGTCTTTCTTTCTTCCCTGCCATCCCCTTGGGACAGCTGTGGATGCTCCCAATGCTCACATGTCATCCCCCTTCTCCTTTTTTTAGGCTCATCCAGTGAGGACCGGCAGTTGAGTGTTCTAGGCCCACGCATCCGAGTGGACCATGGCCCCCAGCCCATGGGGCCGTGTATGTGGTCCCCTGCTGCTGCTGCTGCTGCTGCTGCTGCTGCTATGCTCCGGGCCTGGCCCCCAGGCCCGGGGCCTTCCCAAGCCACCCAAGGACTCGGAACCACAACTGATCCTAGGAGATGACCCCCAGGGCCCTCTGGGCACAGAGCCCCAAGCCCTCGACTTCCTCTGGCAGAAGTCCAGAGATGAGAGCCCCTGGGACTCCAATGTCCCCCAGGTCCCTGCCGAGGAAGTCCTTGAGGAGCCCGTACTCTCTCCCCTTGGCCCAGCCCTGCATGGACCTAAAGCAGCCCACAGGGCTCAGAGAGAAGGCCTCCCAGTAACCGATGACCTCCAGATGGCTCGAGGGCCAAGTTCTCACGGCTGGACAGGATCTCCTGACTCACAGGAGCCTATAGAGCAAGAAGCACCAGCCTCCCATCCAGTGGGCCGCCCCCATCTCACCTTCATCCCCATCACTCCCCGACTCCAACTCAGGATAGCTACAGTTCCTCCCTCCCCAGGGCCAGAGGACTCTGGAGGCCAAATGGGACAGCGACCACCTAGAGATGGGGATCTGGTGGCCGAAGCCAAGATCAGAGTCTCCGAGATAGCCCCCTTAGACCGCCCGGGCACCACCAAGGCACCCGTGCTGGAAGAACGGGGTGGGGGCGAGGAGGACTTTCAGGAGGCAGCTCAGAGCCCTGTCTTCACCCAACAAGACCCAGCAGTCCCCGACGGTGGCTCGGCGTCCCCAGCCGAGATGGCATCTTCGCAGGAGCCTGGGCCCCAGCCAGACCTGGCATTGGCCAAAAGCCTTCCTCCTGCTGAGGAGCTGCCAGTTGAGCTCCCCAAGAAGGCTGGAGGTGGGGAGACCTGGGAAGTCAGCTTTCCAAGTCCCTCGCCCGAAGAGGCTGATCTTTTTGATGTGAGGAGCTCACCAAGTCCCCAGCCCTCAGGTGCCCCAGCCACAGAGACTCCTGACGGGCAGCCTAAGCCAGGTGGGTATCAAAGCGGAGGTTTGCCCGTAGGGCTGGAATTGGGCAGTGTTCCAGCAGAGCTGGACGCCCCAGTTTCTTTTTTTTTTTTTAATTTTTTTTTTTAATGTTTTTTATTTATTTCTAGGAGAGAAAGAGACAGCGTGAGCAGGGGAGGGTCAGAGAGAGAGGGAGTCACAGACTCTGAAACAGGCTCCAGGCTCTGAGCTGGCAGTCAGCACAGAGCCCGACACGGGGCTCGAACCCACGAACCGCGAGATCATGACCTAAGCGAAAGTCGGACGCTTAACCGACTAAGCCACCCAGGCGCCCCTGGACGCCCCAGTTTCTATGCGACCCGTGGTCTCTCTGGGTCCCATTCTCCTCATTCTGGCAAATGAGGGCGATTGTGACTCCATTTTGGGGGATTAGACTTTGGAGACCACTGCATGGTCGGGCACAGTGATAACTGCTTTTGTTATTTCAGAGATAGCAGCAATGAATGGAGCAGACCCCATCTCCCCCCAGCGGGTGAGAGGAGCCCTGGAGACCCCAGGTACCCCCAAGTCCCTCATCCCTGGCCCCTTGGACCCTGGCCCGGCTACAAATCGAACAGAGAGCCCTGTGGGGGCCCTGCAGCCAGGTGAGGGCATGCCTAGGGGTTTGGGGGAGAGTGGGAACTCTGTCTAATAATTAGAAACCCATGCGAGGTATATGGGCCGGGGGAGTGAATGGGGACAAATACTTCCTTAAAGGGACTGGCCAGGACTTCCTTCAAAAACTTAAGGATAATAAACTAATGCTGGGTACTCTGGGACAAGTCATTTGCCCTTTGGGGACAGAATATTCATAGATGTAACTCTGGATATATTTAGTACAGTGTCTCCACCTCCCACAAATCACTGGAGGAGCTTGAGGAGCTTTTAAAAAACTCCCATACCCAGGCCCCCTCCCAAGGAATTCTGATTCAGTTGGTGTTCAGGTGATTCTAATATGCAGCCCATTTTATTGAGAACTGCTGGTATATTATTAATAAAAGCGATAGGTCATGTCGTTTAACATTATTGGGTGTTGGGCACTATGCTAAACATTTAATCCTTCCCACAACCCAGCGAGGTAGGTGCCGTTACCATCCCCATTTTACAGATGTGCTTAAAAAGGTGAAGTAGCTTGCCCACCACACTAGAGAATGTGGAAAACCCAAAGCACTTTTCAGAGGGTTATTTTGATATTGTTATTATTGCAGATGAAGCCGAGGAGTGGCCGGGGCGCCCCCAAAGCCATCCCCCGGCACCCCCAGTCCAGGCCCCCTCGACGTCACGCCGGGGCCTCATTCGGGTCACCACGCAGCGCGCCCTGGGCCAGCCACCCCCTCCGGAGCCCTCAGCCAGCTCCATGGCATCATCCCCAGCCACCAGCCCCCCGGCCAATGCCACCGCCCCTCCCCTGCGCTGGGGGCCCCTGCGGCGGGTGCTGAGCTTTTCCTGGGAGCTGCATGTCTATGGGGTGGGGGTGCTCTTCCTGTTGCCCGCGTTGTTGGCACTGGCCTCACTGGCGGCTGCCCCCGCGGGGCCCCGGCTGGCTCTGGCGGCGGCAGTGCTGGTGCTCATAGCGTCGGTGCTCCGATCTGCGTACATGCTCGCCGACCCCTACGGCTCCCAGGCCCGCCTGGGCTTCCGCGCCGGCCTGGTGCTCTACAACCTGCCCTTCCCCCTGCTGCTCACCGCGCTGGCGGCCCTGACCCTGCTCGGGCTGGGCGCGGGGCTCCCGCAGCAGCTGCAGAACCCGCTCCTGCTGGCAGCGATGGCGCTGGCGCACGGCGTGGGGCTGCTGACTGCCGACCTGCTGGCCGTGAGGCCCGCGTTCAACCTCCTGGCTCAGGGCTTGTCTTGTGCCTGGGGCGCGGCGGCGGCTCTGGGCACGCTCTGTCTGTGCCGTCGCCGCCTGCTGGACGGGCCGCGGGGCTGGGACGCCAGCCCGGGCCCGCGGCTGCTGGCCGTGGCCGGCGCGCTGGGGCTGCTGGCCAGTGGCTTGCAGCTGGCAGCCGCGCTCTGGCTCTACCCGGGCCCGGGCCGGGTGGGTCGCTTTTCGTGGGCCTGGTGGGGCGTCCACTTCTGGCTGCGCCTGCTGGAGCTGACGTGGGCGCTCACCCTGGCGCTGGCCGCTGTGGCCGCCGCGCGGCCCAGGCCGCCCACGGAGCACGCTTGCTGGGCTAAGCTGCTGCGCCTGGCGTGCCCCACGCCCTCGGGCAAGAGCGAGGTGCCCGAGCGACCGAACAACTGCTATGCGGGGCCTAGCGGCGTCGCTGCAGGCAGCTTGGACATAAGCAAGAGCCTCATCCGCAACCCGGCGGAGGGCGGGCCGCCTGCCACGCCCGGGGCAGGCGCCTGGGGGTCGGCGGCGTCGTTGGGCCGCGGCCCCCAGGGTGGCCCTGGCCTGTCCCGCAGCAGCGTGGGGCCGGCGCCGTCGATGAGCGAGCTGGACCTGCGGCCGCCGTCGCCCATCAACCTGAGCCGCAGCATCGACGCCGCGCTCTTCCGAGAGCACTTGGTGCGCGACAGCGTTTTCCGGCGCTGCGGCCTGCGCGGCCTGGCCTCCCCGCCGCCGGGGGGCGCGCTGCGGCCGCGCCGGGGCAGCCACCCCGACGCCGAGCTCGAGGGCGAGGGCTCCTCGCTCCTGCGTGGCCGCTGCCGCTCTCTCAGCGACGTGCGCGTGCGCGGCGCGGTCCCACCGCACGTCGCGGATGAACCTGACGGGGCGGCGTCGGGCAGCTCCGTGGACAGCTTCTCCCGGGGCTCGCTCAAGATCAGCTGGAACCCGTGGCGTCACGGGCTGTCGTCGGTGGACAGTCTGCCCCTGGACGAGCTGCCCAGCACGGTGCAGCTGCTGCCCGCCCCCGCCGCCGCCGCCGCCGCCGCCCCCGCCCCCGCCCCCGCCGCCTCCCGGCCCGGGGAACCTCGGAGCGAGGCGCAGCCTCGCTGCAAGCCCGGGGACTCTCGCAGCGCCTCCAGCGACACCATCGAGCTCTGAGGGGGCCAGGGATGCAGGGGCCCTACCCTCGACGGCCATATGGCTTGGCCCACTGGGACAGCTGAACATTTGAAAAACTGGCATTCCCGGGCTTCCGTCTGACTGCGGGCCCTGGCAGCGGCGGGGCGTGAACCTACCTGCCCCCATTTTTTGTTTTTTTTTTAAATATCTATTTTTCTCAGTGGGTATTTTGCACAGAGGCTGTGACTTCTGCGGAATACAGGGTGGACATGCATGGACTTGGGTGTGGGATATGGGGCCCAGGTACCCCCAAACACCCCTCCAGACTCCGCAGTATGAAGATGAGGTTTGCCTGTCCGGACTGTCCTCTTTGTGCCAAAGAAATAAACCCTTAGGACTTGGCTCATGCCTCCCTCTGCCCACGCCAGGATCCTGTTCAGAGAAGAGGAAGCAGTCCCCACCCCCTAGCAATCCGCACGTCCTGTATATGTTGGGGAGGGGAGGACCCAGAAAGAGCACCCCACTGTGGGAAGCCTTCGGATAACGGCTACTGATATTTTACAGACCATCTATCCGTTGTACACGGTCTTCAGCTCTTCACAGTCATCGTCTTACTTAATTCTTCTATTAAGCCTGAGTGGAAAGCATTCTCATGCCCATTTTATAGATGGGAAGGAGATCAGAGACCAAAGTAATTTGTCCAGGGTCCTTTGGCAAATGACAGCCGGCACTGAACCCAGGAAGCTCCACACTCCGAAGCCTGGTTCCTCCACCCCCTTCTCCTAACGCCGCTTCAGGGCCAAGCCCCCTCTCTGCCCCCCTCTTCCTGCTCTCCCATCACGGTAGCACTCAATTTCTCAGGATTTTAGGAAATTTCCCCAAGGGTGGGGGCTGCCCATGGGGAGTAGGAGGCGGGTAGAGAGACTGAAGGTTCTCTTGTTTTCCAAGACCTTTATTTCCTGAGATGAATAAATAACCTGTGGCTGAGGGGCAGGGGTACAGCCGGGAGCTGGCATGCAGCTGACAGGAGGAGGCTGCAATGGGCCCCCCCCCCAGAGGGCCCCCCCTGCCCCCCATCATGGGCAGGGGCCAAAGCCCATTAGCAGCCGCCACAAGGAAATACTTTTCTTTTTAAAAATTCACACGCGTTGTGAAGCCTGCCCAGTTCCCCCAGGCCAAGATCTCATGGCATCCGTATTTCGGGCTACTTGTTCACCCCAAGGGCCTCACCTGCCCAGGTGTGAGGTGTGGTGTGGACCCCACTCAAAAATACAGCGAGCTGCCTCAAGTGTCCAGGCAGGAAAGGGGCCTGACCTCTGGGGGCAGCCTGGGTGGGAGGAGATCCTGCGGATGTGACAGGGATTATCTGCCCTTGATGAAGCCCTCCAGCACGCGGTCACTGCGCTCCGACAGCCAGTAGCCAGTCATGGCGGCCACAGCCCCAATGAAGATGGCGGTAAACACCAAGTCGCCCTTGGCAGCTAGCGTGGCCAGGGCACAGATGATGACCCCGAAGAACATCTGCTGCAGCACCACCAGCTCGTCCTCTGTCATCTCCGAGAAGAAGCCTGCCGACTCTGTGCGGAACAAGAGAAGCACCTGTCACTCCCCCGCTGTTCCCGGAGCTTCCCACAAGCCTCATCACGGCTGCCACACGGCTGCCCAGCGAGCCGGCACATGATGTCATTTACTGCTGGGAACGACTCCCTGTCTCAATAAATGGGAAACTGAGGCTCAGAGCGGTGAAGAGGTTTGCCCAAGGCCGTGTGGTGGGGAAGTCTGGACAGAGCCTGTGTACTAGCCCGGCTCCAGGGCCAGACTGCATGGACCTGCCTCCCGGCTCTGCAACCTGCTTGTCATGTGGCCCTGGGCAAGTTATTTCCTCTGTCTGCATCCTCGTTTCCGTTCTGGAAAGTGAGGATGAAAATCATACGAACGGCACCGGGTCTGTCATAGAAGGGAAATAACACGCCACAGGCTCGGAACAGTGTCGACACGCGGTAAGAGCTGTGGAGGTGGTCACTGTCGTCGTCATTGTGGTCGTCCTTCACCTCATCACACCAGCAGCCTGCACCAAGGCCTCAGCAGCCCAGGGTAAGGACTGGTCCCATTGGACAGGTTAAGAAGGGACAGTAGGGGTGATTTGACACCAAGTACAATTTTCTTTCTACCCTGGGAGGTGCGGGGCTGCTAAAAGTCTGCCTGGGGCTCAGGTGAAGGGTTTGGGTCTCAGTGCAGCCTTCTGGGGGGTGGGGGGTGGCAGTGGGGATGGGGCAGGGCCTGGGGCTGCCTGCCTTCCCCCTAGATGAGGACCTCCCCTCCTCAGGTGTCTGGGGACCACCACAGGGCTCACCTGGGATCTGCTCCTTCACACAAACGCCCTCCATCTGTTTGTAGCCCTCGGCACAGACACAGCGGTAACTGCCCTCGGTGTTCTCGCACTGCTCGTGCTCTCCGGGACACACCTCTGTCTCACATTCGTCCACGTCTAGAGGGAGGGTGAGGCGGGGTAAGACCCCCGCTGCCAGGGTCCCACATTCGGCAGCCCTGACTCCATCTCGCTCATATGCGGACACCCCCTTGGCCTTTGCCCAAACAGCATTCCGCCCTTCCTTCCCCTGCCCTGTCCATATTCCTGCTCTTCTCAGTTTGTGGCGGGCAAGGCACTTCATGGTGTCTGTGCCCCACTGGCGGGGGACTCACCGAGACACTTGGAGCCCACCTGCTGGTAGCCAGGGCTACATTTCTTACAGCGGCCTGGCCCTGCGCCCATGCAGCCCAGGCAGGCCTTGGCACAGTCTGGAGAAGAGAAGAGAAAGGGGTGAGAGCTGCCCTTAGGCCCAAGGCAGATTGTGGAGGGGGGGAAGCCCTGCTCCAGAAGAGGTCTAGGGGGGGCTCTGGTGCCTGAAAAGGCAGAAATTTGGGGGAGAGGGCATGGAGCAGCCCTTCGTGCCCTCCCCGCACCCCTCCCTTGCAGAATCAGCCCTTACCTCGACACTCGTAGGAGCCCTCTGTGTTCACACAGAACTGGTCGGGTCCACAGCTGGCTCGCTCTGTGCCACACTCGTCGATGTCTGCGGGGAGGCGGGGAAGGACAGGGATTCCAATGCCTGCTGCACTAACAGGGAAGCTGAGGCCAGGGCTGTTGGGGAAGGGACCTGCTCACGCTCGAGCAGCGTGGCAGAGACTGCCGGCTGGGCGCCAGCACGAAGGCAGAGGTGCAGCAGGACTTGGGGCCGCCCAGCTGCAGACATTTCCCAATCTGCCTTGCAGCTAAGTGTGGCCTAATGACGGAGCTCTGGCCAACAGGATGTAAACAGAAACGACGTGCTCCACTCCTAGCTTGGCCTTCAAACAACGCAAGTGGACCCTTCCATGCATTTTCTTCCCTCTCTGGCTTCCTGAGTGTCACTCATGGAACGTGGAGGTACCTCAGGCAACAAAAACATCCCCAGGGGATGACCGCACAGTAAGGCAGAAAGTATCTGGGTCCTTGAATGCTTGTGACAAGCGGAACTTCATTTTGAGACTGTGACACAAGATAAAAATAAACCTCTCTATTCTTTAAGCCACAGTCTTTGGTGATCTTTTTGTTGTGGCAGCTTAGCCTTTCCCCATGTCTTTATAAATAGCTACCGAGAGACCAAACCAGGTCTTGAACCAGGCTTCCTGACCCCAAATGAAGTGATCTGCACTTCGCTGGCTAACTCTTCCTCAGTTTTCAAGAAGCCTTTCCTGATTCCCCGCCACTGCGCTGGATCAGGGACATCTCTGACTGTACAAAGATCGGTCCGTACCCTAACTGCCTGGTTGAGATGGCCATGAAGATGAGGACCGTGGTGGTCTAGCCCAGAGATGTGTGTGCTGATGGGGACCAAGCCCAGGCTCCTTCCTCCCCAGACCCAGGGCTAGGGCCTCACTCACCGACACACTTGAGGTGATGCAGGGCCCAGCCCTTCTTGCACTGTAAACAGTTGGACTCCTCAGGTCCTGAGCAGCGGGCACAGGGGCCGAAACAAGCTGGGTGGGAAGGGAGAAGTGTGAGGATGGGCAGGCGGGCACCCCATATGCCCCTGCCCAGCCCTGCGCCTCTTGGCTACCTACCCGAACATACCAGATGGCTGGCGTTGCGCTCTGCCTCAAAGTAGCCGAGGCCACACTGGCCACAAGCCTCGCCCCCATAGCCGGCCTGGCAGTCACAGTGCCCGCTGCCCCCTCGAGTCCCTTCCCCTTCACACTGCCCGTGGCCACCGCAGGGCTTCTCTGCGCCCCCAGGACAGGCTGTGGGCAGACACCAAACCGGGTGAGATCAAAAACACAATCGTGAATACACAGAATATTTCCCCACACCATTAAATACTTTTAGAGAGAAAACTCAATTTTAATGGCAACATAATATTTCATCATCAACTGTAGGAAATTTACGTAACCAACACCCCACTGTGGAACAGGTTATTTACAAATCTTTCCTCTGATAAAGACTGCATTAATCATCTTAGTCACTCTCCCTTTTGTTTTCTGTTTGCTTTATTTTTTTTATTCTTTGTGTCGCTTAGTCTTTCATCTGAATCGTCCAGATTTTTCTCAAAGGGGCTGGTAGTAGGTTTAGCTCCTCCCTCAGGACTGTGTGGTGACACTGGGGGCTTCAAAGCAGCCCCTGCCTGTCCCTAAGAAGGTCACCTTAGTCCAGGGAATGGGGCCTGGTCTGACCCAGGCATGGGAAGGGGGGGTGGGGGTGGGGCCATTTCTCAGATAGATGATGAAAACCACAGTCCCGTCTGACTCAGTCTAACCCTCTTATCTTTTTTCAGAGCCGTTCCCCACTGATTGGCTCATCTCAACAGCCCTCAGAGGCAGAGGAGACCCAAGGTCCGGAGAAGTTATGAGAGCAAGCTGAGCTCACACAGCCAGCTGTGCGGGAGAGCCAGGACTGGATCCCTGACCTCGACAGTCCCCTCAGCCCCCAAGAGGAGCTTGAAAACTCACGAAGGCAGGAGGGCCCGAAGGTGCCCGAGGGGCAGCAGAGCTTCAGAGAATCTGAGCAGAGCCACTGGAAGAGGTCTGGGGCTTCCTGCTGCCTGAGGGGGTGCGGAGGGGTGGAATGACAGTGAGGGGGACTGAGACAGTGTCAGCGGTGCTGCCCACCCCCCACCCTCCCAAAGAACCTGTGATACGACCCTTCTTGAATAGAAGACCCACAAGACTACCCGACCAACACCCTCTCCCCGTTTGGCAGAGGGGTACATTGAAGCTCAGAGTGAGAACCTGGGTCCCCCCTCCCAAGTCCTTAGCAGACCTAGGTTTGGAAAAAGGAGCCAAAGCAGGACACAGGCCCCAGCATGCAACCCCCTCTTTTACCACCAGGCCCTGCCTATGGCCCCCTCCCTGGGAAGACCCCCGAAAACTCACTTGTGAAACCACCAGCTCTCCACCAGCTCCTCACTCAGCTCTAGCAGGCGGTGGCACTCAAAGTCCGACTTGCCGCACACGCTCTCGAGCACCTCCACCAGGCGGGTCTCACTGACCGGACAGGGCGGGAGTGGCATGAACATGTTCTACCCCATCCACCACCCCCCTGAAGGTCTCCTCTCATGCCGCGGACGTGTCAAAGGGAAGGCCATAGGGCGTAATGGAAGCGGTACTGACTGGGGAGGCAGACGGACCTGGGTTTGAATTTAGTTGAGAGACCTTGGGCAAATCACCTAGCCTCTCCCGAACCTCTCTTTTCTCATCTGTAAAATGGAGACAATATGTGCCCTCCACGTTTGTTGTAAGGGATCTCAGTTCTCGCATTTGCACATGGGAAGATAATACCCCTCTGCGTATATGTGATTAAAAACAATCACATAACACGGGTTGGCAGAATGTGGAGAAAGTGGAACCCTCCTACACTGAAGGTGGGAATGAAAAATGGTGCAGCCACTGTGGAAAGCAGTTTGGCACTTCCTTAGTAAGGTAAACATGCAATTACCATGTGAATCAGTAATTCTACCCCTGGCTACATATCCAAAAGAATGGAAAACAAGTGTTCACACAAACACCTGTACACAAATGTTTGTAGCAATACTATACACAGCAGCCAAAAGGTAGAAACACCTCAGGACGCCTGGGAGCCTCAGTCAGTTAAGTCAGTTAAAGCGTCCAACTTCAGCTCAGGTCATGATCTCATGGTTCGTAGGTTCAAGCCCCGCATCGGGCTCTGTGCTGGCAGCTGAGCCTGGAGCCTGCTTTGGATCCTGTGTCTCTCTCTGTCTGCCTCTCCCCAGCTCATGCTCTCTCTCTCTCTCAAAAATAAATCAACCTTTTAAAAAATTTTTAAAAGAAAAAAAAGGTAGAAACAACCCAAATGTTCATTAACGGAAGAATGGGTAAACAAAATGTGGTATCCATACAATGAAATATTGTGAAGCTTTAAAAAAGGGGTGCTTGGATGGCTCAATTGGTTAAGTACCTGACTCTTGATTTCAGCTCAGGCCACGATCTCACAGTTCATGAGTCTGAATCCCACATTGGGTTCTGCATTGACACTCTGGAGCCTCCTTGGGATTCTCTTTCTCTGCCCGTCCCCAGCTTGCTCTCCCTCTCTCTCAAAAATAAGTTAACTTTAGGGGCGCCTGGGTGGCTTAGTCGGTTAAGCGTCCGACTTTCGCTTAGGTCATGATCTCGCGGTTCGTGGGTTCAAGCCCCGCGTCGGGCTCTGTGCTGACTGCCAGCTCAGAGCCTGGAGCCTGTTTCAATCTGTGACTCCCTCTCTCTCTGACCCTCCCCTGCTCACGCTGTCTCTCTCTCTCTCCTAGAAATAAATTAAAAAAAAAAAAAAAGTTAACTTTAAAACATTATGATAAGTGAAAGAGGCCAGACACAAAAGGGTTCCAATGGAATCAGCAATCCATAGACACAGACAGCAGAGTAATGGCTACCAGGGGCTGGGGGAAGGGGAGAATAGGGACTGACTGCTTAATAGGTATGGGGCTGCTTTCTGGGGTGATAAAAGAGGTCTGGGACTAGACAGGGGTAAAGACTGCCAAACACTGTAAATGTACGAAATGTCTCTAATGGTCAATTTTATGTTATATACGCTTCACTGCAAAAATTTTTTTTAAATACATATATACACAGACATATATTCTGTATTTAGGGGGTCTGGCATGTGCCTGGCATAGAGGAGGGGAGGATTTAAAACACAAAAAAACAGGGGCATCTGGGTGGCTCAGTCGGTTGGGCGTCCGACTTCGGCTCAGGTCATGATCTCATGGTTCGTGGGTTCGATCCCCGCGTCGCGCTCTGTGCTGACGGCTAGCTCAGAGCTTGGAGCCTGCTTCAGATTCTGTGTCTCCCTCTCTCTCTGACCCTCCCCTGTTCACGCTGTCTCTCTCTCTCTCTCAGAAATAAATAAAAACATTAAAAAATTTTTAAAACACAAAAAAACAAACAAACAAAAACCAGGAGCCATTACACAGCTAGAAGTGCCCTTCAGGTTATCATGGCCAATCCCATCATTCCTAAATGAGGAAATTGAGTCCCCTTCAGGGAAAGGAAAATGACCAACGTTACATAATAACAAAACCTTTTGTTTCTAGTGGGCATCGCAGTTTAATCCTTACCACAATCCTATGAAATAGTCAAAGCGAGTATTAACACCTCCATTTTACAGATGAGGAAACTGAGGCTCACAGAGGTGAAGTAAGCTTCCCTAGGGTACACAGGGTCACAACCGACAACCAGGTCTGTCTAACTCCAAGTCTTTGCTGATTTCTTCTTCTCAACTTGACCTTTTTTTCTTTTAAATGTTTATACCATAAAGTCGGTATTCACCTAGTTGCTCAGGCCCAAAACCTAATAAGGACTTTTTATTCTACCTTTTCTCTCATACCCCATAATGATTCCATCATCGAGCCTTATCAGTTCATCTGCAAAATACACCCAGAAGCTGACCTCTTCCCACCATGTCCACCACCAGACTGCACACTAGCTCGTGCCACTGTCACACTTAGACTAGCCCCCCAAATTTTCTCCCTGCTTCTACCACTCTGGCCCCTACAGTCTTTTTGCTACATCGCAGTGAGTGATCTTTTAAAGGTATAAATAAGACCACATCACTTCTCTGCTCCAAGCCTCCCAAGGGCTTCCCGTTACACCCAGAACAAAATCTAAACTCCGCTCTGTGACCTTCAAAGCCCTCTGGCTTCATGTTGTACCCCCCTCTCTTCTGCTCACTCGCCTCTAGCCTCTTCTCAAATATACTAAGCTCAGTCCCCCACCGTCCAAATCCCTTCTCCCACTGTCACATAGCTTGCTTCTTTACTTCACGTTTCCGTTCGAATGCCACACCTTGAACATCACGCCTCCATTCTGTAGTCCACCCTCTTTGCTATTCTTCCCCTGATAAGACATTAGCTATTTACTTATTCAGTCTGTCTCCTCTACTAGAACGTCAGCTCCTTGAAGATGGGATTTTGCATGCCTTGTTTACTGCTGTGCTGGAGATGTTCAGTGATACTCGTCAAAGAAGGACTCCCCGGGAGCCTCCAGGTCCCCACCAGTAGAGCAGAGATTGGGAGGTGAGGTATACAAACCCACCTCGCCAGCTCCTTACCTGTCTTTGTATTTGGACAACTTCTCTTCCTCCCAGGCAGTATTTCCACCTCCGAAATTGTCCCGGATTGTTCTCTCCAGGCCCTGGAAATGGAGAACATTAGTAATGCCTAAGAACAGTGCCTAGCACATTCTAGCACTTCCGGTATTTCGATGACCAGGGAACTGAGGCATAGAGGCAACCGGGCCAAGGCTATAGACATCTAGAAGGCAACCAGGCTGGTACGTGACTCATGCAGACTTGCATCCCAGAACTCCTCTTGACCCCTGTGCTAGAATGGTTAGACTGCCCCCGGCGAGGCTGCTCATGCACCCACCTTGTTGAAGCTGTCGACCAGTCCGCGGCAGGTGTGACATGGATGGAGCTCAGTTGGGGGCGAGGACTGGGGAGGTGGAGAGGGCTGGAGCCAGACGGGGCCTGGGAGGCTCAGAAAGAGACTTAGGCCCCAGAGCAGGGGTCGGACCAGGCCTCTGCGGGGCAGTGAGGCCATCTTTTCCCAGGCTGGGAACCTGTAGAGGGAATGCGGATGACTCACTGGAGAAGCCAGGTGAGAAAGAAAAGGGTTGGTTCTGAGGTGCCGCGGGTCTGGGAGCCCAGATGTGTGTTATCATAAGAAAAAGAAGCTAGACTGGGGGGTATGGCCGGGGAAGGGGAGGTGGTGAGGAAGGGGCCTATTCTGCAATTCCAAGACGGGAATAAGTCATCCTTGTCACCGTGGGAGAGGTGGCCCGAGTCCTTGGCAAAGGAGAAGTCAACTCAGTGTTTTCAGGTCTGAATATGGGTTCTTAGGCCAGGATCAGCGGAATCAGGGAGAACGGGTCAGAGTCCAAATATTAGGAGAGTAGAGGCCGGATGGGCGGTCCTGGGGGGGGGGGGAGGAGTCCGGAACGGAATCCCGGTCTTGGGGGGAGGAGCCCGGATCCGGATATGAAGAGAAGGGGTCAGGTTCGCGGCCCGCAGGCTGCAAAGGCGCGGCCCACTAGCCGGCAGGGGAGGATCCTGACCCGCGTAGGCTGCGGGGCAGGAAGCGATAACCCACCCAGCCCGCCCGCGCCGACCTCTGAGTCTCCCCAACGCCACCGCAGCCGCGGGCTGCGTAAGACGCGCAGCCTCCGCCAGCGCCGCAGCCCGGGGGGGCGGGGCCCACCCACAGCCAATGGCGGCGATCCATGTGCCATTGCGTCACCCCACGTCAGCCAACCGGAGGCGGTGCCGGGCTGCACCTGTCCGGGTGTTAAAGGGCCGCGGGCGTCTCGGCGGGTCAGTGGCGCGGTCACAGACAGACGCCGGAGGCACGGATAGAAAAATAGCGTCTGCCTTTATTCGAGTTGTCTCCCCGGCCTCACGTGCCATCCCGCGTCCCGTGCCCGGGGTCCCCGGGAGCCCCGGGAGCCCGAAGCAGCTGGTCCAGGGCGGGCTGCAGGGCCCGAGACACTTGCCTCGCCTTCTCCCCCAGCAGCCCGGGGCGGGGGTCCCCGGGCTCCTGCAGGGCCCCCAGGAAGCCGGGCAGCTGGGAGGGCAGGGAGAAGACCGGCACGCTGCGGAAAAGGGCCGGCACGGCCTCGGAGTGGAGCAGTCCGTCGAAGTAGGCCCCGACGTAGCGGCCGGGCGCCCGGCCCTGCAGGAAGTCGGGCAGCACGCAGCTGAGCGAGGCGGCGAAGGCGTCGTGCGGGCGCTGCGGGGCGGGAGCCGGAGCCCCGTCCTGCAGCCACTCCCGGCACAGCGCCACGGCCCCGGGCGAGAAGAGCAGCACCACCACGCCGCCCTCCTGGAGGGTCTGGCGCCTCTGCGCGTGCAGCCAGGCCAGGGGCCCCTGCGCGCTCAGTTCACGACGGCTCCACAGGTCCACGGCCACGCGCAGCGGCAGCTGGCACAGCGCCGACGCCAGGGCGCCCACCAAGCGCTCGAAGCCGGAGTCCTCGGCCGAGTAGAGGAGCAGAGCCGCGCGGCCCCTGGCGGCAGCTGCCGGGGGAAATCGAGGGGAAGGGAAGACGTGAGAAGGCCCGAGGCCCGGCCCGCAGGGCGCGGCCGCCCGCCTGGCGCTTGCTCACACTCACCCCCCGCGCGGATGTCCTCCTTCAAGAGCCTCAGCCACACTGTTAGGGGAGAGGGCCGGGGGGCAGCCCGTGAGCTCGGCCGCCACCTTCTCGAGGCGAACTCCCCGTTCTGGCTCTGGGGGGTGGGGAGCCCGGAAGCGCTCACCTTTCACTCGGTCCTTTTTGAAAAGGAAGAGAAGGAAAAGCACAGCGGCAAAGAGGAGGCAGGCCAGCCACACCAGGGCCCAGCGCTGGTGAACGTCTAGGAGACCCAGGGGAGAGGACAGGCTAGTTAGATGCCATCGCTTTCACCCACTTCACGAAGGAGAAAAACTCAGAGATTTAAAAGATCTCTGGGGCTGCCACATGTGACCGAACTGGCTGAGAGAAATGGAAGGATTTGCCCAAAGTCCACAGCATGTAGTGTCAGAGTCAATATATGAACATAGATCCATCTACCTGGGTGACCTTGGGTAACTCATTTCGTCTTCTGCCTTAGTTTTCACCTCTGTGAAACTGGGTTAACCATAGTACCTATTTCATAAGGTTGTTGGGCGGACTACACATATTAATACACACAAAGCACTTACAATGCTGGGCATGGTAAGTGTTCAAGTGACAGCTAATATTGTCCCCTAAGCCTAGTGTTGCTGGGCCCTTGACCTCACTCTCTTGATGACTCCAACAGCCTTCTAAACCGTGCCCCTGACCTCTTTTTTGCCTCCCAATTCATTCACTACATGGCAGTTCCAGAGACCTTTTTAAAATGCAAATGTGATTATAGCCTTTCAGGAAGCTCCCACTGCTCTTAACATAAAATCCAGTTCCTCACCTCAGCTCCCATAGCCCTAGATGACCCTTGCATCCTTGTCATAGAGGTCTGTCTCCCAAGACCCTCCAGCCACAATGGCCACCTTGAAGTTCCCCCCAAAAAGCATCTCTCCCCCCTTCACTCAGCTCAGCCTTAAGAACAGCTGGACCCTTTTCCCGGCCTCACCCCATCTAAGTCAGGTCCGCGTTATATGCATTCATGGTTTTAGATGCTTTCTAGCAAATGCTTCAGTAGTTCACGTTTACTATTTGCTAATGTCTTTCTAGCCTTCTCTGGCTGCGGTGGGGGCAGGGATTGTGTCTCTCTGGTGATGCTAGAATCCCTGTGAGCTCCCTTCTTGGCTTTTGGATGAAGGAAGGAATGCCCCTCTGATTGATCTGAGCCAGGGAAGGACAGGCCATTGCGTGTGCTGCCCTAAGAATATCTAGAGTCCACCACAATAGCCAAATCATGGAAAGAGCCTAAGTGTCCATCAACGGACGAATGGATCAAGAAGATGTGGTTTATCTATACGATGGAATACTACAAGGCAATGAGAAAGTGAAATCTGGCCATGTGTAGCAATATGGATGGACCTTGAGGGTGTTATGCTGAGCGAAATAAGTCAGGCAGAGAAGGACAAATATCATATGTTTGCACGTATAGGAGGATTAGGAGGAACTTGACGGAGGAACAAGGGGGAGAAGAAGGGCGGAAATGGTGGGGGAAAGGGAGAGAGGCAAACCATGAGAGACTCTTGAATGCTGACAAAAACTGAGGACTGATGGATGT